TTAGACATTAGACCTTTTTTTTCTTTTAATAGATGTCCAATCTATTTTTATATGTAAAAAGACACATGCATACAAAAATACTTTCGAACACAAGAATCAATATTCTTCGAATAAAATGCTTTCTTATATTCAAAAAGGAGAGGTTCTCAACAAAAATTTAGTCGATATTACATCCCGGGGCTTTCTATGGTCCAATTGGGAATTAATCCCTCAATTGTAATGGGTCGTAAATTCATCGTAACTCTTGTACATATTGTTCTCGCATGCCGGAAAAAAAAGTTTGTAATTAAGGATTGTAATTGCCTCTTATTTGATTCATCATCCATCAGATTTTGAACATCAGGGATTCTCTTTTGCCAAGAGGTTTCTTTCACACGAGGCGGGCATAGTCACTTAGGGCGCGCATAGAATCCATTCTGGAGTAAAAATTCTGCTCCAGAATGCATTTCGAAATAGAAATGTGTTTGTTAAAAAATTTCCGGAATGCATTCTGGAGCAATTTTTGCATTCTGGAATAAAAATGCATTTGTTAAGGGCGCGAATGGTAACCATTCTGCTCCAGAAATCAAATTCTTGCCAGAAATTGATTTCCGGAATTCTTGCCAGAAATTGATTTTTGGAGGAGAAATCTGTTTGATAAAACATGACTAATTCTGTTTCAAAAATTGATTTCTGGAACAGAAATCTATTTTGATTTGTTGATTTTTTTTGCACCTAAAAAAATTTAAATTTCACTCAAAGTGGGTGGTCACAGGTATTCTAAGCCATTTTGTGAAGTTTTAAAATTTTTTATTTTTTTATTTTTTTGGGCACCTCAAAAAAAATAAATTTCACTCAAAGTGGGTGCCCAAAGGTATTCTAAGCCATTTTGTGAAGTTTTGAAATTTTTGATTTTTTGATTTTTTTGGGCACCTCAAAAAAATTAAATTTCACTCAAAGTGGGTGCCCAAAGTATTCTAAGCCATTTTGTGAAGTTTTGAAATTTTTTATTTTTTGATTTTTTTGGGCACCTCAAAAAAATTAAATTTCACTCAAAGTGGATACCCAAAGGTATTCTAAGCCATTCTGTAAAGTTTTAAAATTTTTATTTTTTTATATTTTTTGAAAAAATTTCACCAAATTTCCTATTTTCCCGAAATCTGACTTTTTTTTATTTTTTGGAAATTTTTATGAAATTTTCTGGAATTTTTCAATTTTTATGCATTTTCTAAAAACAAAATTAGTGAGATCTCAAAATGTGTTGTAAAGGCCACGAAAAAGAGAGAAAATAGGAAGAATGCACTCTAGAAGAGAGAAGCTACAAAAAGTAGCTTCTCTTTTTCTTGCCCAAAATTCATTCTGGAATCAAAAATGCATTCTGGAATCAAATATTTTTAGAGCGCGCATGGAATCCATTCTGGAGTAGAAATTCTGCTCCAGAATGCATTTCGAAACAGAAATGGGTTTGTTAAAAAATTTCCGGAATGCATTCTAGAGCAATTTTTGCATTCTGGAATAAAAATGTGTTTGTTAAGGGCGCGAATGGTAACCATTCTGCTCCAGAAATCAAATTCTTGCCAGAAATTGATTTACGGAATTCTTGCCAGAAATTGATTTTTGGAGGAGAAATCTGTTTGATAAAACATGACTAATTCTGCTCCAGAAATTTATTTTTATTTTTTTATATTTTTGGGCACCTCAAAAAAAAAATTTCACTCAAAGTGAGTGCCCAAAGGTATTCTAAGCCATTTTGTGAAGTTTTAAAATTTTTGATTTTTTGATTTTTTTGGGCACCTCAAAAAAATTAAATTTCACTCAAAGTGGATGACCAAAAGTATTCTAAGCTATTTTGTGAAGTTTTGAAATTTTTGATTTTTTGATTTTTTTGGGCACCTCAAAAAAATTAAATTTCACTCAAAGTGGGTGCCCAAAAGTATTCTAAGCCATTTTGTGAAGTTTTGAAATTTTTGATTTTTTTATATTTTTTGAAAAAAATTCACCAAATTTCCTATTTTCCCGAAATCTGACTTTTTTTATTTTCTGGAAATTTTTATGAATTTTTCTGGAATTTTTCAATTTTTATGCATTTTCTGAAAAAAAAAATTAGTGAGAAAAAGAGAAAAAATAGGGAGAATGCATTCTGGAAGAGAGAAGCTATAAAAAGTAGCTTCTCTTTTTATTGCCCAAAACTCATTCTGGAATCAAGAATGCAATCTGAAATCAAGTATTTTAACAAACGCATTTTTATTTCAGAATGCAAAAATTGCTCCAGAATGCATTCCGGAAATTTTTTAACAAACACATTTCTGTTCCGGAATGCATTATGGAGTAGAATTTCTACTCCAGAATGGATTCCATGTGCGCCCTAAAAATACTTGATTCCAAAATGCATTCTTGATTCTAGAATGCATTTTTTATTTCAGAATGAGTTTTGAGCAAGAAAAAGAGAAGCTACTTTTTGTAGCTTCTCTCTTCCAGAATGCATTCTCCCTATTTTCTCTCTTTTTCGTGGCCTTTACAACACATTTTGAGATCTCACTAATTTTTTTTTCATAAAATGCATAAAAATTGAAAAATTCCAGAAAAATTCATAAAAATTTCCAAAAAATAAAAAAAAGTCAGATTTCGAGAAAATAGGAAATTTGGTGAATTTTTTTCAAAAAATATAAAAAAATAAAAAATTTCAAAACTTCACAGAATGGTTGAGAACACCTTTGGGCACTCACTTTGAGTGAAATTTAATTTTTTTGAGGTGCCCAAAAAATCAAAAATTTCAAAACTTTACAAAATGGCTTAGAATACCTTTGGGCACCCACTTTGAGTGAAATTTAATTTTTTTGAGGTGCCCAAAAAAAATCAAAAAATCAAAAATTTCAAAACTTCACAAAATGGCTTAGAATACCTTTGGGCACCCACTTTGAGTGAAATTTATTTTTTTTGAGGTGCCCAAAAAAATAAAAATAGATTTATGTTCCAGAAATCAATTTCTGGAGCAGAATTAGTCATATTTTATCAAACAGATTTCTCCTCCAAAAATCAATTTCTTGCAAGAATTTGATTTCTGGAGCAGAATGGTTACCATTCGCGCCCTTAACAAACGCATTTTTATTCTAGAATGCAAAAATTGCTCCAGAATGCATTCCAGAAATTTTTTAACAAACGCATTTCTGTTCCGGAATGCATTTTGGAGCAGAATTTCTACTCCAGAATAGATTCCATGCGCGCCCTAAAAATACTTGATTCCAGAATGCATTCTTGATTCCAGAATGTATTTTTGATTCCAGAATGAGTTTTGGCCAAGAAAAAGAGAAGCTACAAAGTAGCTTCTCTCTTCCAGAATGCATTCTCTCTATTTTCTCTCTTTTTCGTTGCCTTTACAACACATTTTGAGATCTCACTAATTTTTTTTTTCAGAAAATGCATAAAAATTAAAAAATTCCAGAAAAATTCATAAAAATTTCCAGAAAATAAAAAAAAAGTCAGATTTCGGGAAAATAGGAAATTTGGTGAATTTTTTTTCAAAAAATATAAAAAAATTAAAAATTTCAAAACTTCACAGAATGGCTTAGAATACCTTTGGGCACCTACTTTGAGTGAAATTTAATTTTTTTGAGGTGCCCAAAAAAATCAAAAAATCAAAAAGTTCAAAACTTCACAAAATGGCTTAGAATAACTTTGGGCACCCACTTTGAGCGAAATTTAATTTTTTTGAGGTGCCCAAAAAAATCAAAAAATCAAAAATTTCAAAACTTCACAAAATAGCTTAGAATACCTTTGGGCACCCACTTTGAGTGAAATTTATTTTTTTTGAGGTGCCCAAAAAAATAAAAAAATTTAAAACTTCACAGAATGGCTTAAAATACCTGTAACCACCCACTTTGAATGAAATTTAAATTTTTTTAGGTGCAAAAAAAAATCAACAAATCAAAATAGATTTCTGGAGCAGAATTAGTTATGTTTTATCAAACAGATTTCTCCTCCAAAAATCAATTTCTGGCAAGAATTCCGGAAATCAATTTCTAGCAAGAATTTGATTCATGGAGCAGAATGGTTACCATTCGCGCCCTTAGTAACGAAATGGTACAAAATCAAAGATTGTACGTATATTGCACCTATATCTCCCTTTGATTGTGCATATCTTGATTAAGATATTATATTATAATATTTATCTAATAAAACCTATATATATGTTGTTGTATTCTTCATTAATATATACATCAAAATATGTAGAAAATTTCACAATTTTCTACTCTACTTTATCATTCTTAACTAGAAAATGGTCTACTTATAAGGGTGCATTTGTTTCACAGAAAATGTACAATTTCTGGAAAACACTTTCTAGGAAATCATTTTCTAGGAAAATGAGTTCGTTTTCCGGTGTTTGGCTAAAACCTAAAAAAAAAACTTGAAAAGCATTTTCAGTTATTTAGTGAGGAACATCTGATGGTGAAAATTATCGAAAATTTTTATATTTTTTAAATTATTTTTATTTTGGAAAAAGAAAGGCTGGCGATTGGCGGAGGGAGGAAGAAGGAAAAAGAAAAGAAAAAGAAAAAAAAAGAAGAGAAAAGAAAAATATTAACAAATTCAAAATGAACAATTCCGAAAAGTGTTTTCACCTTCTTAGATTAGAAAATTCACTTTCCTAATTTTATATATGAATATTTTCCTTAATCGGAAAGTATTTTCAATTGACTTATCATTTTCGGCGAACCAAACGGGTGAAAGTTCGGAAAACAAATTCCCGAAAAACACTTTCCCTTAAACAAACGCACCCTAAATTATAAAGGTTCTATATATAAAAGTGGATCTTGCCGGTAAGTATCTCCATCAAATATGTAGGTTGCTTTTACATATAAAAATAGATATTATATTTAAGGACCGGCCATAGAATCCCCTTCAATAAGTGGAACAAAGAGATTTAGTTACCATTTGTGAAGGTTAGGTTCTCATTGAGTCACTCTATCCAAAACCATTTGTCATTCAAGAGAAGCATATGCCATTTCAGAGTTATTCTAAAGTCAGCATCCTTATACTTCTCATAGATTGTTATTCAAGACTTTAAATATCTACATACAAAAGACTGTTCCTTAAACATGTTTATGTAATGTCCGACCAAAAAAAAACCATGTTTATGTAATGGACCAAACACTTGTTTCGTACGGTGTTATCTAACTTACATAATGATGTATAGGACTCAAGACTGTATAGTGTCTACAGTCATTTGGTTGATTGCCTGCATTTCCCGCTATCTATTCATGAAGTCCGCGGAAAGCATATATCTTTCAGTTCGCATCCAAGAAGGCCAGAAATAAAGAGGAGCTGCAAAATCGTATAGAACTGACTTGATCTGTTGAGAATTGTATCTGTATTCTTGTGGAAGAATCGAATTTTCTCGTACGGCATTTTTGCTCTGCATTGTGCTCTGTTGTTGTGTGAAAGAATTGAGAAGAATATGTCTATTTGCTGAGCGACAGATTGTTCCTGTTTAGCAACCGGTTAGCTTTCTTATTATAGCAGGCCATCCAGATCATATTGGTACGAGGGAAGTGAAGAATTTCAAAGAAGGCCCCAAAAATCTCCACACAAGCACTTTCCATCAACAAACTTATGGAGCCGCTTCCGATCTTGGATGACAATTTTCCTAGCAGTTAGAATCGATAGGCATTTGATAAAATCATGGCAGTTTCTGCGCATACTAGTATTCTTGATAATATGTATTGTTGCGGCTTTTTTTGTGTTCAATAATCCAAAAGCAAGAGCGAATTCTTCGCTCTGGTGAATCCTAGAGGTTACATTTGCGTCCTCATTATCCATTAGCTCCGAACTCCCCAAAAATTCATATCCAAGTGTCTTTGCTTGGCCAAGCAAGTCTTCCAACAGTATGCGCATCTCTATCTTATTACCAGGACAGGACTGCTCGTTTGGCTCGAACGAATAGACCTTGCCTTTGATGCAAATCCAGCTTTGGTCTCTTAGTTTTAAGGGTTGCTCCTCTCTCATCAGTTTTTCCACATTCAACATGTCTATCCACCTCTCGGCTGCTCTGTACAACCTCAATAATGATATGCAAGTCTCACTATCTCTTGGCTCTAGCTTGATTAACTGCTCAGCTGCATAAAGCCCTAATTCCGGATTTCCATGAATTCTAGCTCCAGCAATTAAAGCCAACCAGATAAACTCATTCGGCTCATAATGCATTTTCTTGATTAAATCAAACGCCTCGTCTAACCTATCTGACATCACAAACATGTCAACCAGCAACTCAAAGTGGTCCATCACAGGCTTAATTCTATATTCCTTCTGCATCATCTCAAAGTAGTTCAGGGCCTCATCTACCATTAGAGTATGACCACAAGCCGCGAGGATGCCAACAAAAGTAATTTGATTGGGTCTGACACCCACAAGTCTCATGTCCTCAAAGAGCTGCAGGGCTTGCTGAGTTTTACCGTGAAGGGCAAAATTCGTGATCATGGTAGTCCATGATATCAAAGTTCTGGTAGACATCTCCACAAAAGCTTTACTGGCTCTCCTAATGCTCCCACATTTACTGTACATGTTAACCAGGGCAGTTCCCACCACCACATCTGACAAAAACCCGGTTTTGGTAGCCTGCGCGTGAATCTGCTCCCCTTGCTCTAGCGCTACCAATTTACTGCATAAAGTCAAGACACTTGAAAACGTGAAAAGATCAGGTTTCAGGCCAGAGCGGATCATTCTCAAAAAGATCTCCAGAGCTCTTGTCCCACCTTGGTATGCAGAAAGATTGTCCATTGCAAGATCCATAATTTGCACGTGCCCTGCAATGATGGCGTTCCACGTGACCAAGCTGGCGGATTCGATGTCATTTAACAATTTGTATGCCTCGTCTACCAACCCACATTTGAGGTACAAATACATCACAGAATTCCTAACTGGTAGGTTCAATTGATAACCACGCTTTATGCTCAAGGAGTGAACCTGTTTCCCTAAATTCAATGACATCACTGTACAACAAAGGCTTAAAACACTAGTTAAGGTGAACTCATTGGGTTCAACATTCTCCCAAAGCATCTCACTGAAAAAACCCAACCCGTAAGCAGCCTCGCCATTTTCGCTGCAAGCAGATATAACAGCAGTCCAGGAAATCACATTCTTCTCCGTAATACCTCTGAAAGTTTTAACCGCATAATCCAAGTTGCCAAATTTGGAGTACAAGCTACAAAGTGCATTGCCAATACTCGGATCGTGTTCAATCCGGTACTTGACTATGTAGGCGTGAATTTGTTTCCCCAGTTCTAGAGATTGCAAAGAGGAACACGCATTAAGAGCGATTCCCAAGGTATAATTGGTAGGATAAGATCCTGCCTCCAACATTTCCAGGTAGACTCGGATGGCGAGCTCCGGCTCAGAGCTGTGGACGTAACCCGTGATCAGGGTTGTCCAAGCGACTACATTTCTCCTCGGCAGACTGTCGAAAACCTTTCGGGCAGCACCCATAGCCCCGCATTGCGCATAAACATTCACAAGGAACGTCATGACAAACAAATCCTCCTGGGCTCCTGTTTTAATGATGTGGGCATGAACAGCTTCCACATCCGAAACCAAACGCCTGTCCATGCATTCTTGCAAAAGGGGAACACAATCAAAGGATCCGGTTTCTGTCCCATCTTCTAACACGGAGAGCCCTTCTCTGAAGTCTAAAGACTCGTCCTCCAGAGTACCGCTCGGGCTAGCGTCGGTGTTATTCGTTCCACAACAAATGCCCGGAGGCTGAGTGAGCAAATGCAGCTTAGAATCAGTCCCAGAAGCTCAATCGCACTGACTGGCCAATATCATTCTACGTAAATTCAATCCTACTTTTCTCTTGAAAAGACACAGAACTGAATGAACTTAAGCTACTCGAAGCGAGAGAAACGTGTCTCGAAGACGATAGAGCGAATTACCTTTCCCACAGCGAGAGGAGAGACGCAACCGGAGATTCTCGAGCGCAGCGAAGATGGGTCGAGCCGGAGTGTGGCGGCGAGAGAGAGGGACGGCAGACACGCCATGAGGAGGACGGCGGAGGCAGAGGGAGGAGCACCGGCAAGACCGTTGCATGGAAAGAATGGTTCTTGGAGGAGAAGGGCGAGGACGGAGGAGTGAGAATACGATGAGACCGACGATGATGTTCTTTCTCTCTTGTCCTCATTTTCATGCGATCTATCCGGATAAAGTCGCAGGAGAGAGGAGGGAAGAGCTGATGGGATTATTTGCCCGAAGTTCGGTTTTTGCGACAGAAGTTATAATTGGTCGTTGCGAAATAAGTAAATCTCAATTTGGATACTTAATTTAACTAATTCCTACAGAAGCAAGATATTCATACAGCACCTCCATTTCTGGAATTATACATCATCTACTTTCATTTTCTGCAGAGTTACCCTGTAATCTGTATGCCATACACGTTCTGTACAGGAGGCACCCTTGACGAATTCTCATGAACATTTTCTTTCATGTATGAAGAACCACTTGGACTGTCATTGATCTCTTCCCCCCACAAGATGTATGAGGGTATGGGGAACAGCCCGAAAAGGATTGGATTAACACGGGGGCAGATGCGAGACGAGTTGAAATAGAGCTTAGATAAGGTTCAGAAAAGAAGGCTCGATCGGACGTAGGAACGTCGAGGTGAAGGAAGGTTGGTTGGCTATCGATCGATGGGGAGCGAAACTCCAATTCCCCTCGAATTCGGCGAGTGTTAAAATGATTAGAACGGAGGAAGTTGCTCAGCCGAGAAAACTATTTCCCATTCCAAGCAGCTTTTCTTCGAAATAGACAACCTCGTATAATATCATAGTCCTTAACAGAGCCGAGCCGCGCCTTGCGTCAATACAACAATACAAGTATCCATTCCACAAGAATATAACTATACACAAAAACAAGAGATTTTCATTTCTGGCAGATTTAGGAACACTCGAATCACACCAGCTACTACATCCTCGAAGAATGTTAAGGGGCCTGGTCATCCCAAGCGCAGTTGGGTTAAACGATAAGAACATACTCCTGTAACAGGGAGACACCCGATGTCCTATAACGTAAGATCAGCGCTTCTTGCTTTTGCTCTTCGTGATCCTAGATTTGGCCGATTCGCCGGCAGGCTTCCAGATGATGTCCTCGAGATTGCTACAGAAACTCTTGTAGAACTGCAATGCAGACAAGTGACAAAAGTTATGAACTGAAAATTCGCTCTACATAATCGATTCTTAATTCTTGTCCCCTCACAACCTCCCCTTTTGGGCACAGAACTGCAATCGAGAGCTAGTAACTCGAGCCCGCGGCACTTCATTTTCCACAATTACATGGGCTCGCCTTCGCCCAATTGACCGACAGTTTTTGATGTCTAGCCTGGCCATACGATTGGTTGACACGTCGGTCAACCATATGAGCGAGCCCATGATGAGGTCTATTTATGAATTAAGCTTTTCGAGTGGTAAAACAAAAGATAAGAACAAGGAATGGTACAGAAATGAACACTTGAAAATAACATGAACGGTACCTTAAGGTACTCATTGGCATCTCCAGCTGCATTCTGAATATCAACCATGAAGTATGTTGGAGCAACCTCAAAAATCTGGAGACCGAAGGAGATAGCGAGAACCATTAGTTGACTGATTTGTCAATGAAGAAAAGAAAATACCCAATGATGCCTGAATGCTTACCTCCAGAATAACAGAGAAATGAGAGTTCTTGCTTGCTGATAGACCTTCCACTCTCATCTGGCCAGAACCACAAAACGTAAGTTTCTTTTTTTGTCAGATCCACAAAACTAAGTTTTTTTAACAACATACTTTAGGATGAAAATTACATTATGGAAAAAATTGACAATTAAACCATCAATAGCATGAATAAATGCCTTATTTTATTTCACAGAGTTAAACGATAAACAATCGGAATGAAACCAGAAACCAAAAACACGGGTATAGGTAATCTAAGGAAAATATACATGTGATCGTGTGCATCGTCGCACAGCGCACATAAGAGAGAGGGCAAAGAACTAATGCTAAAAAAAAGCAATATTATTCGATAGTCTATACCTTATAATTGCGAATATGTGTCTTGAAACCCATAGATTGTGCAACAACTTCCATACTCGATAAAACCACCTTTGCGGGTTTCTGTGACACAAAGCGAGTTTGATGCTTCACAGAGTCCTGTTGAAGATGGGATGAATCAAAGTTCTGCAAATTTTACGAGAAGAGGACAGTATATGAAAGAGCATCGACAAGATTAAACTACAAGCAGTAATACATTATGGCAATAGAAAACTTCTAGTCAGTTAAATTGCATACCTGACCCCTGTCAAAGAGGGCTGAAAGGTTTAACCCTTGAGATAAGATTATCAAATCAAATGCATTAAGAATCAACGGACGCATGTCTTCATTCCCACTTTCCTCATTAGGCTGCTGTTCCCACAGAAAAAATAGATATTCATTCATTGTAAAAAGAGCTGTGGAATGCCAACAGCAGATAATAGGAGCGCAATAATGCAGGACAAAGAGGTTAGCACCACAGCTTTTTCCTGAGAGCTGAGACCGGATGGCGATGTTCTACTAAAGTGGGACTGAAAAATATGTGACTGGAGTCTCTCTGATTAGGAGACCATAGGCTTCATTTCAGAAAACATTGTGGAGCAATCTCCCACTCTATCAGAAGTATGCAAGCAGCAATATAAATTACTTCACAAATATCTATATATATCACTCCATATAATAATGTGAATATGAAGTGAAAGCTAAGGCTAGAGAACACAAAAGCATATCAGAGAACAGTTGATCACCAAGATTACAACTAATATAAGTTCTCGAACTTAAGGTCAATTGAAACATAATTTAAGATGCCACTGCACATCTTATGTGAGCTGAAATAAACACAGTTAATGCTAAAAAAAATTCTCCTTTGCCAAGCAAAAAGAGCTCACTTCATTTCCTCTGAGTTTGAGAGAAAAGAGAGAGAACACATGGCATATAACTATCTGCTTAATGTCAGTTAGCACAAGGTTATTCCACCCAAATCATTATGTAAGAAGCACTGAGAGCAAAGTTAATTCAAAAGTTCTCTTGACCAAAACTGTTCCTTAAAATACATAAAGAGATGAAGCACTATGAACTTGAAAGACTTACGGACCTCATCATCGTCAAAGGCAGCATTTATATCTTCCAAGTTCACAGCTTCAGATTCAATGACTCTGACAGGATTATAACTTTTCTTAAACCATTCATCATCTCTGATCTGCTCTATTGTAATTCGCTGAAAACAAAGAAAGAGACTTCTCAGAGACAAATAGCCAAACTCTCATACGATAATAATAAAAATTTTCGTCAACATAATGAATAGCTGCCAAGAAGCAGCAGAAGTAAGCCCTTATTAGCATCCTCCACAGGAGAAGTTAGTAAGTGAAGGCAAAAGTCAGGAAATGGAAAACGTTATCAACACCATGGAGAAAATAGGAAAAGGTGTGATAGACTGTTTTCCCAAATCAAGTAAATCCATTATATGCAATCTTATTTATCACCCCATCACCGTTTGGATGGTTTAGATGATTGTGCATGGACTTTAAGCTTCACAATCTTAACAGGAAAAGAATTTTACATCCCGTCTCGGTTGAAGGCAAAGTTATCAAGACCACCACAAAGAACAAGAGCATCACCTTGCCAAGACGTTTAAATTACATTCACTCAACCATACCCGGTTGCCACATATAAAAAGCTGACGGCCAAATTCCTCCTCTGGTAGCATAGTATAGTCACTATAGTGACAATAATGCCAGGTTATTTGTAAAGATAATAGCATGCAAATGTAAATCTTTCATTCTTGGGATAATGACACAAACGGTCCCTGAACTTTAGCCCAATGTGCAATGTGGTCCCTGAATTTTTAATTCATTCAATGTTTAACCGGATGTGCAATGTGGTCCCTGAACTTTTAATTTATTCAATGCGGTCCGTGAACTTTAAAGTAATGTGCAATGCGGTCCCTGAAATTTTAATTTGTTCATTGTCATCCCTGAACTTTTGATACATGTTTAATTTAGTCCCCGAACTATATGAAAATGTTCAATATAATCCTTCTATTAATTCAAGTTTAGGGACTACATTGAATACTTTCGTATAATTCAAGGACTATATTGAACATGTACCATAAGTCCAGAGACCATATTGAATAAATTAAAAATTCAGGGACCACATTGAACATCCGGTTAAACATTGAATGAATTAAAAATTCAGGGACCACATTGCACATTGGGCCAAAGTTCAGAGACCGTTTGTGTCATTATCCTTTTATTCTTTGCATGTTGTCCATTTTAAGATGCTAATTACAATGTAATAATTAAAAGCATATCAAAACCAAATATATGGTTTTGCTGCGACAGAACATGTGATGCTCGATTCAAGCAGACAAGAAGTTTGCATCCAAGAGTATTCTCAGTACTTACAGTTTCAGGATTTGGATCTAAAATCCTCTGAATCAAGGACTTTGCTCCCATGGGAAACCATGATGGGCATGAAAAGTCGGCATTATCAATCTGCACAAGAAAATGAAGTTCAGATTCATTTGACCAAAGGAGAAATATCATAAATAGAGTAAACACACATTTGTATCTTTGATTAATATGCTGAAGGACATGTTACAAAGAATATGAAGCTTGATTCCTGATGTTACACCTAAAGTGACAAAATAATCTAAATTAGCAGTGTTGACCACAACTAAAAGAATGTATAGTTAGCAGAGAGAAACACAAAATCAATAAGCACGACAATTTGAAAAGGCCCAAGGTTCAAAAGAAACTAGTTATTGAATATTGCTTTTATTTCTTTATATTATTGAGCCCTGCTAATACAATAAAAGTGGGTGATAGACTTGTGCTAACTGCGAAGAGTCCATCATTAGCCTACCACTAATTTATGGTCGAGAAAGTTTCATCCCAACCTCAAGTGAAAATCAATCGAGAAATAAATGCGGGGAAAAAAGTAAATAAAGCACAACAAAATCGTGCCTTACTGTAAAGTGTGGTGAGGTCTAGTTCATCAAACGGGAGATATCCTGCCATCAAAACATAAAGGATCACCCCGCAGGACCAAACATCTGCTGGGGCACCGTAGTAACCCTTGTGACTAAGTACCTTAAAAGCAGAAAAGAAGAATATTATGAGAAATTGGAGCACAATGATGTACATGAAATACAACCTACTAGCCCAAGAAGCATCGAGTTAAAATAGGATTATGTCAATAATTACCTCTGGTGCTACATAATTAGGAGTCCCACATGTTGTCCGAAGTAAGCTAACCCCCTATAAATAGATGTTAAGAGGAAAGAGAATCATCACAATCCTTTTTCGTCATGTACGATTTCATTAAACAAACACAACATCAATGACCAAAATAAATTTTACCTGCTCAGGCAATGCACTAAGACCAAAATCAGAGATTTTCAAGTTTCCTTGGGAGTCGAGTAAAAGATTTTCAGGCTGTACAACGGCGGAAATGAGAGTCAAGAGTTTCTTCAACTATCTAACAAAAAGAAGCTTTTAAGACAATAGGGGAGCATCACCTTTAAGTCTCTGTGATACACTCCTTTGCTGTGGCAAAAATCTACCCCATCAATAAGTTGCTGAAAGTATCTTCTAGACTCAGCTTCACTGAGACGTCCATGATGGACCTGCGCAGTTTTGACTCACACTTAATACAAGTAATTGCAAAGATATACCACACAAACAAGGTTATACACTCCAAGCAACTGGACCATTGATGTTATAGACTAGACTACTTACTATTTTGTCAAACAATTCTCCACCTGTAATAAACTCCAAGATTATGTAAATCTTGGTTCGGCTGGCAAGAACCTAGAAAGCAAGTTCACAAACCAGGAGCAGAAAAAAAGCATCAGATGAGCGGCGTAGAGAAGCATTACGTAATTAAGATTCTCAGTAAGTTGAATCCCATGCCTCATGGAGACGAACAACGTAGGGATGCCGCACAAGTTTCATTATCGATATCTCCCTTTTAATCTGCACAGTTAAAGTTGAACAATATATCAAGAAGACGTGCAAGGAAAGAAAATTTTACTAAATACAGAGGCCCGCTCTAGGTAACCAAATATTCAAGCAATATAACTGGTTACAGAAAATTATGTCTCAATAACCTTACACAAGAAAGATACTGCACCATACATCCATAAAAGACTTTTTGTATAATACTGCTGAGAACCATGCAACAATCAAACCACAGGATTTTCACGAAGATGATAAGCAAAATAAATGGCATTATATATCGAACAGGGGAAGGCACGTTGGCTTTGCCACTCACTCCATAAATCATTGAATTCTGAAGCATAAATGAATGAATGTAGGATTTATGTATCTTCAGAGAGCATATTGTAAGATATAATCAGTGCCAGTTTCCACACCCTAGAGCTCCAATCGGTCAGGTGTCAAGGTTCGGAAATTTTGAAGGACTACACGGTGATTATGCTAATGAAGATCTCTTTAGTGTTAGTTTTCCTCTTCTCTCCAACTTGAGGACTTGGATGGAACAAAAAGGCAGGCCTTCTAGTACGAACAAAAAAAATAAACACAAACCCAAGTCTCCAAGTTGATTTATCCTGATAGAACACGCATACCAATTATCAAGTACATAGCATTTGCACAACCGAATAGATTGATTATCTCTAACAAGCTGATACTTTTGAACTCGGTGCCTCATCTTCTCATCATTCGAGACCCAATTAAAGAAACCCAGAGAGAGAGAGAGAGAGAGAGAGAGAGAGAGAGAGAGAGAGAGAGAGAGAGACCTGTTCCACCATCTTGTGCTTAATGATGGTGCCGCGATCGAGCACTTTCATGGCGACACTCTCGCCCGTTTCGGTGTTCTGCGCGAACTTCACCTTCGCGAAGGTCCCTTCTCCAATCGTCCTCCCCACCTCGTACTTCCCCACCTTCCTCACCACCATCTTCTCTCTCCGGGCAGAACCTTTCACTCCACCACATCAACCAATCACCATTGGTGCAGCAGCTCCACCTCCTTCCCACAAATAAAAAAACCACGCAAAGCCCACTTCCAATCCCAGGTTATTGCCCAATAATCGAGCTCCCAGGAGGCGTGAACCGTTTGAAGACAGAAAAAAAGCAAGAACCTTGATTTATCAGCCCATGCGTAGCCACAGAAAAAATCAGAACTTTACTTTGTCCCAAGAACAAATTTTCCCAAAAAAAGAAAAACCGAGAACTAAAAAGGCAGAGATTCCTTGTGCTCGTTTCCAATCTCTAGAGACAGAGGAAAATTCCCAGATGGGTTCTTCACAGATGGGTTCTTCCGTGCTAATTTGTTCGCTTTTAAGTGTGAAAGTGGGGTGGTGGTTGAATTTCAAGATTTGAACTTTGGAGGCCGAAAAAGGAGAGTGCAATGGAGGAATTAGGTGAGGAAAGTGGGGAGATTTTTGGAAAAAGGAAGTTTGCTTCGGACAATATGAATAAAATGGAGGAAAGAACAGACAGTGAAAAATATGTAAACATGTCTGAGTGCTCGTTGACTGGTGCGGTGCGTGCGTCCCCCCTGAATCTCTCTCAATCTTGTCGTGATGGACATTGACACCCCCTATCGATCTTTGCCTGCTGATGCCCGTGCTCTGCCTACGTTATCCTATTAGTTTGTTAATCAATCCCTGCCTATCTTATCATGTGAAATACTGTTCTTTTCGCTTTGTTTTTTCAGAGGAACGTGGAAAATGTGTATATTCGCGATGAGAAATACACAAAATTATATGTAAGGACTAAGTGTCCAAGGTAAATTGATATATTTAATCTATTTCTTTATAGGTTAATACAGTATAAGTGGATTTTAGATTGCCTAAATGTATTAACACAACATATACAAAGGCATTTATCTTCTCGTGTATTTTAGTTTCAGTATTTTCCTTACATGCATGCGTAGAAGGTTAAGAGAGGGAAAAGATAAAGGAAGTTTGACAACGATTGTTTGACTTCTAATAGTTTTTTTGGGGGCGATAATATGTCATGCGTGCCAAGCGTTTTCTGGAACAACACTATACATTTTGTAATCCTCTCCTCACACTTCAAAACTCGACCCAATTATCAACTTATCGTGAAAAGCTGTGTAAGAGCACGCAATAAGTTTAAGATAGGCCGAGGGCTATGTCTGCCTAACATACAATAACAATGATGAACATAAAGCTGATGCGATGCGATAGATAGCAAAAATAAATTAAAAAAATAAAATAAAAGGGCAATGGCCATAATAAGATAATGAAAGTTGCATTCTTGATATATTCTGGGTATGAAGATAAGCACTGTTAAAAAGCAACAAAGAGGAGCAGATGCTGGATCTTTGATTGCATCTGTCTATTAAAGAGGATAGAAAAAGAATTCAACAGCACAAATCTTGAAGGGAAAAGTGGAGATACAGCTACACCTGTTCCTTCCACTATCATCTGTCTCGATTAGGGTTTGCTTTCACGACATCACAAAAAATCTCAAATTTCTACGCTTATGACAAATTTACTAAAACACACATTTATTTGACCACTAAAAAAATCATAAACCGATACACTTGTGACAATTTTTACCATTTTCTAGTTTTCGTTAAATTTTACCATCAAATTTCTGAGTTGAATAACACATGACAGTTGACAAGTGTGCCAGTTTGGGGTTTTACCCTCCGTTTGTCACATGTGTACCAAATTGTGATTTTTCGTGTTATCAATCAAATTTAACGGTAGGTAAATTTATCACAAATATACCAGTTTTTGGTTTTTTGTGATCAAAAAATTAATTTAGGATAAATTTGTCACAAATATACCAATCTGTGATTTTTTATAGTCAAAAAATTAAGTTGTGGTAAATTTGTTACGGGTGTACCAATTTGTGATTTTCGGTGGTTGAAAAATTAGTTTGGAGTTAATTTGTCATAGGTATACCAGTTTGAGGTTTTTCGTGATATTAACCCTAAAATTTACCAGAGCTGCATTTAATCAATTAATTAATCGTGGGCAAGTTGACTTAAGTAATTAATCTACTTAGTTGTTATGATTTGCCAAATTGACTTATCAAAAGAATCGAGAAGGCAGGTGATAATCGTGGCCACAGATAGGTGAAAACAGATGGAGTTCGGTGGAGCAAGCACTTGTCATCGAATTTCAAGAACGCTTATCCTTTTGGTTTTTTAAGGTAATGGACGATGAGGACCGTCGCTCAAGAATTTCAACTTTAGACGAAAGTTATGATCATGGGAAACATATGAGAATTGCTCACAAGAAACAGAGCTGCCATACGTTTTTTCCTTTTTTCCAAGAATACCACCGAGGACTGTCGTGGTATCCTGTCCCCCTGTAAATCTCTCAGAAGATGACGAATGAAACATGCGTGCATCAGTGGGAGGCGGCCTCCACCATAACACGTCGGCGAAGAATTACAAAGATGATCGTGACAATAAACTGTAGAATCACATGTATTATACTGTAGTAATCGCATTGCGTTATAAAATTGCACAGATTCTCACTTACATTAGTGGAACTATGCATCTGGATTGTATGGTGGCTTAAATGTACATGTGTTTCAATTGGAAACTACCGTAGAAAGAGTCCTCTTTTCTATGTTTTCATTATCATGCTTCTATCTATCACCTTAGAATGATGAGGCCGTGCGTTTTCATCTGAATTCGCCACACAACGCAAGATGCTTTTTTACTTTTGGGAACCAAAGATGTTGGCGACCCTTTTTCAATTTCGAAAACTCCGATTTCATCAATACTGAGAAATTGCGCACCTGCACCGGCCTAATCCGCGCACATGTTTTCGTTCCCTTTTAACTCCTACTCTCATCTCCATTTGGTCATATTTTATCATCAGTCGTGGAACGGGGAGCTCACCGGAATCCTCTCTTAGTTTTGACAGTCACAAAGAACATTGGTTCTTAAATCATATACCATTCATCGCCTTCCAGACTCTGCTCTGTATTCTTGCTGAGCAATCAGGTACTTTTGGGAGGCCTGCGGGAAGAGAGAGAGAGAGAGATGAGCCGCATCATTAGAGCTTTGCTTTACTTTCCATTAGCTGTCAAAAATGAAGTCCAACATGCAACTCCAGGCTGGGTTTGCTTGCGTTTGTTGCCAATCCCCGATTGCTTTGGCTTCAATCTCGTCCTTTTTAATTCTAGAAATGGGAAAAAAGAGAGAAGAAGATCCGTTTCCAGAGACTTTAAGAAGGGCCTTAGTGGGGCGTGCATAAAGCCAAGAACCAGGGCTTTTTCTTTTTCTTTCCCTTAATCTAAAGAACGCAAAAGGATGCCCTTTTCTTGGCGATTCTGTCCACTTTCGATTGTGCTCGGAGAAAGCGATGCTCTCATAGTACGAAACGAAACTTCTGGTTGTTTGTCCTCTTGATGATCTCTCCTAGTGGGGCGTTTTCTTTCTTTCTTGGTCTAAAACTAAATCTCTTTTGGTGGGATTTGATCGGTTGAAACTTGAGGTGAATCCATCGACTAAACGACGCATAAAGAAAATGCTTGCACATGAGAAGCTGAGGGCCTGAGAGAGAGCTCTTCTTCCGTCTAATACGTGGGGATACGATGATTCAGAGGTTTGCATCCGAATGGAAAAGCTAATGTATCTAATTGAATCTCCCGCGGTCACTTGAAGTCACTTTGGAGCGCAAGGGGTTAGCTGCTACTTGTTGCACATGTTCAATTTTTCGACCATTTTGCGGGTCTTCTCGATTCCTAATCGAAGCAACCGTCCTTTCTTAGATATAAGTAACTTAAAGAGCGGCCCGCGGAGTAAAGACCCAATCAATCATTAAAGCTCGATCAATCGCAAAAATCGTCGAAATGGGTCCTCGAGCCGTCACAGCCACGGGGACTTGATCCTAGGTTCTCAAGCACTTGGCAACCTTGTTACAATGAAAGCCGCTCGAAGTGTAGGGCTAACATGTAATTGGACCCAAACCCACGAGACTTAGTCAAAAGAGGAATGTAATAGGTAAATCAAATCGAGAGCATCTCATTCTTAGAGACGAACAAACTGCTAGTAGCATTCATCCTGCCTTTGGTGCATCGTGTCAAATGCCTCGAGCGCTATTGCAGAGCAGGATGATTTACTTAAACTTACAGAGGCTAAAATTGAGGACAGCAAGACCAACAATTCCAGAGACCAGTTCAAGTGATGACATTGCTGGAACGTTTAACCAGAGTTGAGCGCTGCTCCTTTTCACAGATTCAACAACATTGTGCTCCTCATCTCAATCTGCTTTTTGTAGAAAGTCATTCAGCTGCACTAAAATCCCCCATTTCGACTACATAAAGCTGTATGATACTCCGACGCCAAACATGATCATTTTTTTTACGCTTTTTCCAGTTTCTGCTCGAGTGTTTCATTTAAAAGGCCTCGATATATCTGACAATCTTTGGTATTCGTTTCAACCCCACTCAAATATTATCATCAGGTAAGTAATCCAGAAAATCTTCTGTTTCACTTTTCTATTTTGAAGGCTTAGACATATTTCCGATGGTCCTATCAAGTATAGTGTGACTGCGTGCCGTGAAGACTGGAGGCTGAAACACTATCTTGAAGATGGTATCAACTTAGGGAAGGTTGAAGTTCTGGGAACCCGAACTACTACTGATCCCACCGTTAAGATCTAAGGAACAGATATAGGGTATTCGATGATTCCATTAGATTATTCCGTTACTTTGATTTCGAAACGCTTAGGGTGCGCATGGAATGCATTCCGGAATAAAAATTCTGTTCCGGAATGCATTCCGGAACAGAATGGCGTTTGTTAAAAAATTTCCGGAATGCATTCTGGAGCGATTTTTGCATTCTGGAATAAAAATGCGTTTGTTAAAAATAGTTGATTCCAGAATGCATTCTTGATTCCGGAATGCATTTTTGATTCCGGAATGCATTTTTGGCAAGAAAAGAGAAGCTACTTTTTGTAGTTCTTGATTCGGAATGCATTCTCTATTTTCTCATAATTTTTTTTTGAAAATGCATAAAAATTGAAAAATTCTAGAAAAATCATAAAAATTTCCAGAAAATAAAAAAAGTCAGATTTCGGGAAAATATGAAATTTGGTGAATTTTTTTAAAAAAAAAAAAAATCAAAAATTTCAAAACTTCACGGAATAGCTTAAAACACATGTGCCACCACTTTGAGTGAAATTTAATTTTTTGAGGTGCCCTTAAAAAATCAAAAATTTCAAAACTTCATAGAATGACTTAAAATACGTGTAATTCATCTACTTTGAGTGAAATTTAAAATTTTTGAGGTGCCAAAAAAATAAAAATAATAATAAAATAAAAATTTTCAAAACTTCACAAAATAGCTTAAAATACCGCGCATGGCACCACTTTGAGTGAAATTTAAATTTTTGAGGTGCCCAAAAAATTAAAAAAAATTAAAAATTTCAAAACTTTACAAAATGGCTTAGAATACCTGTAGCCACCCACTTCGAGTAAAATTTTAATTTTTTGAGGTGCCTAAAAAAATAAAATAAAATAAAAAATTCAAAACTTCACAAAATGGCTTAGAATACCTGTGGCCACCCACTTTAAGTGAAATTTAAATTTTTTAGGTGTCCAAAAAAATTAAAAAATTCAAAAAATTCAAAAATTTACAGAATGACTTATAATACCTGTGGCCACCCACTTTGAGTAAAATTTAAATTTTTTAGGTGAAAAAAAAATCAACAAATCAAAAAAGATTTACTTGAAATCAATTTCGGAAGCGAGAATTAGTCATGTTTTACCAAACAGATTTCTTCTCGGAAATCAATCACGCAAGAATTTGAAATCAATTTACGCAAGAATTTGATTTACGGAGAAATGGTTACCATTCGCACCCTTAGTTACTTCATCTGATGGTGAACTCTAACTAGCTATACTGCAGATGTTCTAACTGCAGTTGAGTTTGCATCTTGAAGTTCTGGCCGGACCAGAAGAGAGCCTCAGTTTCTACTCCTCAATTTCTTCTGGCCACTAGTGAAGGATGCTCGTCTATTACAGACGGACCAAGCCCTAAGCCAAGTGCAAATAGGAGATAGATAGTAAACCAATTCACCTATTCAATGAGCTGTAGTTGTACTCCTATCTGCCCTCAAGTCCTAGTGATCAGTCCATGATCCAAGCGATTACAGTATAGGAAAAGAGTCCTTGCCAACGGAAGTTTATTGTCAAAGACAGGGCAAACTGGAAGTTAGAGCTGCAATTCAGATGTGAAAGAATTCTTTGAAAGAGGATAGTAAGTATATAGCCTTAAAGAAGGGCCTTCATGTTTGCGATCATGCACCACCACAGCAAGTCCATCAGAAACCCAACCCAATAATTTCCACAGAAGCATCTATGTCTAGACCACCAAACTGTTTTTCCAAATCATGCACAATACAGTTTGAATGATGGATGCATGCACAAATAAAATAGTCCAAAGACCATCTTACGACTTAAGACTTGTTGTGAGGGTAAACGGAAATCGTGACGCTGTGTCCCAGCAATTCAGTAAAATGTAAAAATAGAGTCTTCAAGCTTCACAGTCCTAACTAGTTCCTAACTTAAATTTCTAGTTTTGCTGGTAGAACTCACTGCTTCCTGAGGGAGACATAACAGAAACAAGCAAAACTACTTGGCGTCTCATTTTTGGCTTGGATGCTACAAAAAATGTCAAATTACCATGAATGATATCATATGCTTCAGCCATTTAAAACCAGAAAGAGGAGCCACAGAATTAAGAGGATCCAGTCAACCAAGGTCAAATTCAAGCTTGCAGCATCTTGAGCATAATTGATCAACCTTAGAAATATCTAGAAGCTTTATCAAACTTTCAATCCTCAAATTCCAACTTGCAATTCATGTTTCATCGCCTGAATTTGAGTTCAGACTCTTCTTTGATCATTTTTTGTTGGAGCCTCCGAAGAGCTGCAATTGGTCATTTTAAGGACTCGTATCTCATGAATTACTCTTGTCTAGAGGAAGCATGATTATTACCAACATCTTGCCACATTAAACCTATCAACTGACAAAACAAAACCATGTACATGAACAGACAAGAACCCAACGCACATCACACAGTAAGAAACAGGAAGAACGAAAAAGATGCACATTCTTGACAAAACCAACCACATGTTCCCCCACAATCGAATTAAAAAAATCAAGAAACTTTAATAGACACGACCATATTTTGATTTTTTGAACTCACACAGCCGTTGTCTGTGGTATCTGACCAACAACTTTACCATCCTGAGTCAACGCGCCACCACCTTGCATCCCATTGACGGTCGCCGCCGTCGCCGCCGCCTGATATGCCGGAACTACCCCTCCGGCCGCCGTATAGTAAACCACCTGCGAGAAACCTGCCTCGGCCATCACGGGCTGCTGCACCACCTGACTCCCCTCACCGTAAGCACCGACCTGGGCTTGCTGAGGTTGGACCGCATTATAAAGTGCCTGTTCCCGGTAAAGCTCCGGCCCCAGTCTCTGCACTCCGTAGTAACCCTGACCTATAGGTCCGGTCACCGGTTGAATGGCAGCGAAGTAGCCACCGCCGCCCGGAGCGGGAATGTAGTATGCTGGTTGGCCCCCATTCACCGCCAATGGCAAACCTCCGCCCGTCACGGGCCGCTCCGGCAAGTACGCCGCCGCCGGTGGCATCTGCACCGGCGCGGCCACCTGAGCGGCAGCCTGCGCTGTTGTCGCCAATGTCTCTAGTTTTGCCGGAGCAGCAAGGTACTCATCGGTGCAAACGCCAGGATTGACTCCGTCGCCGCTTCCATTCGTCGCGGCCTCTTGTTGCTGATCGGAAATATGTGCTCTCTCCAGCGCCTGAATCTGTTGCTGAATTTCCGGCGGCGGCGCAACCTGCTCTCCAGCGACGCGCCGATCCTCCAACCCGAACTGGGCGACGACCGGCGCATGCACAAAGTCCTGCAAATTCACCGGCGGCGGCACCGCCGAGAAAACCTTGTCGAAGCCGAACAGATAATCGGGATTCGCCGCCCCGAAATTCGCGGCCCGCGCCGAGTCCAACGCGTCCCCGAGCCACTGCCGCTCCGACTTCGCGCCGCTGGAGCCCGAGCCCAGAGACCCGGAGCTGAACGGGAAGAGGAAGAGCCGCAGCCGCGCGGGCTTCGCGGAGGCGCCGCACAGCCGGTCGTACTCGAGCAGCATGTGCTCCAAGTCCTCGTCGTTGACCACGGAGACGAGGGCGTCGAGGTCCTCCCCGGGGAGCTGGTACTTGAGGCAGAATTCGGGCGCCGCGGTGAGGGAGGCGAGCTTGGAGGCGAGGGCGGGGAACCTGACGGAGCGGTCGACGGAGAGGAGCTTGGTGTCGCCGCCGGCGTAGACGAGGTGGTGGTCGTGGGGGCGGGGCTGGATCCGGCCGTCGTAGCTGCAGAGGAGCTTGACCTTGGCGGCGGCGGCGGAGGGGGCGGAGGAAGGGGGCGGGGGCGGCTCGTCGAAGGAGAGGTTGGGGGCGGGGTCGGGGTCGAGCTCGCGGGAGCGAGGGGAGGAGCCACGGGAGTCCGGGCAGGAGGAGGGCGGCGGCGGGGGCGGAGGCGCGTGGGCGTCCATGGCGGAGGCGGGGAGGTGAAGCTAGGGTTTCGAAGGCGAAGGAGGAGGAGGAGGAGGAGGAGACGAGGAGGCGGAGGAGGAGGATGATGATGGAGGAGGCATGGCGTGTTGAGAGTCTGCGGAGAGCGGGAGGAGTAATTTCTGGAAAAATGTTTTTATAATTTTCTATTTTAATATTAATACTGTTTTTTTTTTGGTTTGTTTTTTTCGGTGGGGCCCGGGGGACTGGGACCGAGCGGTGTTGTTGTGTGGAGCGGGAGCGGAGGTTCGGGGGGTTTGACCGACGCGCCAGTTGGAATCGGACCATGTCATCGCCATGATCTCTCTCTCTCTCTCTCTCTCTCTTCGTGTTTCTTAAGGATTTAATTCCCACGAAACTTCTCGAACTCTTGGTGAATGCGAAACGACCCAGCTGCCCTCGTCTGGAGGAGACCGGATTCCGCCGCGCTCGGGCGCCGCCTCAGCCTCGCGGCAGGGGCGGAAGAGGGCGGGGGATGACGGCGGCGGCGGCGATGGGAGCTCCTGTCGTTCCTCGTCCGCGAGGGTCGAGTGGGGGAGGACGATGGAGAGAGTCCTCTTTTGCTTGGAGTAGTTGAGTGAATCGCGATAATTTATTTTGGTGCTTTCCCTTTTGTTTTCTCCAAATGCGTGCTGGGCATCTTCTCTGACTTGCGCTAATTCGATGGTAGGGGGGGAGATGCATTGAAGTCAACGAAAGCAATGTGTAGGGGAAAACAAAAAGAGAGGTGGGGATCCCCTCGATTGAGGATGTCACTTGTATGTTAGTAAGAGAGAGTTTGATGATATTTTGTGATTTTATGTGATAATGCGAAATTTAGACCGTTCGATTGAAGAAATTAACTGTCGATCACTCAAGTGATGATAGTTTGAATATGATTCATTCTCGATCGTCGGATGGATCACGAAAAAATAGTCATGCAGCTCCCTACTGCAACGAAGAATGAGCTTTTTTTTTTTTCCTTTATGGGCTAAACAAAGAGTTTAACTCACACACCTTACAATTAATGTTTGTATGACTGTGGAACGGCCAAAACTATGCCTAGTGGCCAAATTTAAAATTTTATTACTGAATTAATATCCGTATAATAGATTCATGACTTTTTTGATAATTTTTCTCGTTGAACAGATATGACTATGCTTGGTGGATCCGATCAGGTAGATAAAATGAGAAAGAAAGGTTAGGACGGGACCGAGGGTGAAAGAGGAGAGAGAGTGATCGGATGGAAGAAGAGATAGATTGGGAGAAAATGAAGAGCGTAATTGTTGAAATGTCGATTAATCGAGTTTATAGATTATCAGTCTAAATTGTCGACACCCTTTCTAGCTTTTGTAATGTTCAATATATAAACCGGATCAGTTTATGATATATGTATTCCTCATGTACGATATGGAATATGAGATGTGTGATTGAATGACATTACGCGGATTGGTTTAAGGACTAATATTTGCGCGCCATGAGAGCTAAGTGTCCGGTGCAATAAAGTGCTATATCAGGAGAGCCATCTCTTCGAATCTAGATGTTGCGCGATGGGGACTGCCTCTTGAACCCTCAAGACACCCTCTAGAATCCTTAGACTGAGCAATCTATTCTTCCCCAACACAAACTCCTTAAAGAGTCGCTTGCTGATGTCCCTACATCAAAACAAGTCTCTCAACACTTCTACTAATAGCCAAGAGGCATGTCCTTGCTGGTAAAGGGATTGTGGGGGTGGGCTGGGGCCGGAGAGTATCGGGTCCGGAGTTCGATTTCCATGTACACCGCATACACATATATATAAAAGAGAGGAGTGAGATTCAAAAAAAATAAAAGACTCTTCTGCTAGTAACCATCTTGAAACCACCTTTTCCTTTCTATGCAAGTAATGTTTGCAACCAGAGAAGGATAAGCCATACGCCGTAGCATTGTGGAAGCATTGTCCATCCCATCTATTTAAAGGGGCAATCAATGTTTGGTCAGAGTGAGAAAGCATGGAATTTCATAGAATCATGGAGGATCCTCATCACCTTGGTTACAACCCCAAGAGTATGGAGCAACATAAATAAAGGCACATGGACGCACATAACTTCTAAGAGTGTCAAATCGCATCCATCTCCACCTATGTCCATGTGGGCTGCATAATAAGATACCGTAGCTAAAGATCATCAAGTGAGGGCACAAGTCTTATTGGGGTGGAGAATTTAACCATGTGAGCTTGATATCCGAAGCTTGAGCGATCGACTAAGTGTTAGATCTCGTGATAGGGAAGAGTATCCATGTGAGAGTTGGTGGAGTTGTATCTGATAGAGGATTAGGTTAGTTTAACACTTTAATATTCAAGTCAAATATCGATACTTATATCATTACATTCTTTGGCCAACTCCATTAAATTAATATGGAGATATTGAAGGAATTTTTCTATTTAATACTATGTTCAGGATGATACCTTTATTTTCCATGAAATATGGGATCTCATACGTATGGTATGTTAAGATTAACTTGTAACGTATTTATTCTAAAACTCTTCTACATTTTATTTTGCAACCGTGATTGTATAAAGCTTCATTGGTAACGTGTTCGATGTAAACGATTTTCTTGTTATTCCACAATAATCACGATTAAATTTGGATCCATTAGCATACGTTAGACCGGCTAATCACAAAATGAAAATCTAGATTTGCCTTAAATCATAAAGTGCACTTAGTAGTTGAACAAACTTGAAGTAGTGCTTTTTTCCTAAGAAAACTCAAGTTATGTTTTGCTATTACCGTCTTACATTAACATTTGACTTCATATCACCAATAATTTAACGGGGATAATTATCCGAAAATCCTAAATCTATTGTATGGTAGCCAATTCTTGTCCTAAACTTTTTAATTTGGCCAATTTAATCCTAAAACCTTTTGATAATTTTCGAATGTGGTCCTTCCAGCTAATTTTTGTCAGAAATCATTGACGTGGATAATAACCATCTTATGTGGCACGATCGGTGCTAACATGGACGATTTGCTATTTTTTTTAAAAATTTTATGAATTTTTTTTTCTTTTTTTCCTATTTTCCTCGTTTGGTGTCCACATCAATAATTTCCTACCAATGGACTACATTAGCAAATCGTAAAAAGGATTCAGGATCAAATTGACCAAATTTGAAAAGTTTAGGACTAAATTGGCTGCCGTATAATAAGTTTAGGGCTTTTTGGACAAGTTTTCCTATTTAATGTTGTAGTAACAAAACTAACTTAGGGTGCGTTTGTTTCACGAAAAACTCAATTTTAAAGGAAAATTATTTTCCGGAAAGCATTTTCAGGGAAAACGGTTAGTTTTCCTTCGTTTGGTAATATATAGTCGAAATCGTTTTCTGATGTTTGAATTTTATTCAAAAATGATTTCAACCTTATGTCTTTATACAAAAAAAAATCGATTTTTTTTAATTTATTTTTTCTTTTAAAAAATTTGAATTTTTAATTCTTTTTTCTTTTTTTCTTTTTTTTTCTTTTTCTTTTTTCATCTCTTTCCTTTTCTTTTTTCTTTTCTTTCCTGTTCTTTCTCCTCCTTCCATCGCCGCTACCGATAGGCGATGGCCCAGGCGAACTCGAGCTCGCTGGCCTCGGGCGAACCGCGAGCCCGCCAGCCTCGGCCGAGCCCGAGCTCTCCTGGATCTGGCGAGCCGCGTGCTCGCCAACCTCGGCTAAGCCCTAGCTCGCCCGGATTTTCCGAGCCTTGAGCTCGTCGGCCTTGGGTGAGGTCCAGGCGAGGTGGAGGCAGCGAGGTAGGGCCTCGCGCGACGCTAGCAAGCTCGAGCTTGCCAGATCCCGGCAAGCCACAGTCTTGCCAGCACGGCGAGCTTGAGTCTCGCCGGCATTTGGCAAGCTCGACCGTCACTGGCCTGTGCTCGTGGCCGGTGGCCGACCGCCGCCAAGGCCGGCGACCGACATAAGGAGGAAAAAGAAAAAGAAAGAAAAGAAAAGGAAAAAAAAAAGAAAAGAAAAATAAAATATTAACAAATTTAAGATAATCAATTCCGGAAAAGTGTTTTCGCTTTCTTAAAATAGAAAATTCACTTTCCTAAATTTATACATGAATGATTTCCTTGATCAAAAAGTATTTTCGGTTAACTAAATTATTTTCGGACAATCAAACGGAAGAAAGTCCGGAAAATACTTTCCCGGAAAATAATTTCATCAAAATAAACGCACTCTTAAAAGAAAAAGAAAAAGATGTGACATGATTTTTCTTTCTGTAAATGACGACCGTGTTGGAAGTAAAAAATCACTTGTGAGCGTGGACAAGTGACGTTCATCACATATGGTTTGTTAATATCTTCATTATATAATTAAAAATAACGAACGCCTATACAAAAAAAAATCAGATCATTTTTGTTTCTTTATCCAAACCGGTGTGTTTTTAGTGAGGCAGCATCGCTTGCAGGAATTGGATTGCTGGCACTCCACATGCGAACGCAACGCAACACCCGTTTGCATGCGACGCTTCGACCGCCCGAGACGGCGCGCCGTGCGGCAATGAAACGTGTGGTGCTCACGTTGGCATTTTGCTGTCACGCTAATTTTTTTGTAAAATCCTCGAAACGACAACGCCAATCGTGCGCTTTCACCAATCATTTGACAATCGGTGCGTGGAAGTCAGCCACGGGAAACGCTGCTGCCTTGCCCTAAATCTCCATTCTCTTGGTCTAATCAAATTATGTTTAGCACGATGCACATGACTTAATTAACGAGAGAGTTAGTGATCCACGTCCCGGCACGAGGATAGGATGAGCCCCGCAATTCGTGTATATGGATGAACTGACATAAGTTGGTATTCGGCTAAAGAAGTAACCTCATTAAAAGGAAGGAGCCGGAGCTCTTATAGGAGCCTCCGCAACCTGTTCCTATTTTGTAGGGCAGGGTCAACGGATGCTTTTTTTTATATTGATGTGTCGATGCTCGCATGCATTGCATTTTCAATTCCCTTCGTATCTTTTATCTTCCCAAAAAAAATAGAA